TTAAGTGCATCAAACGTCTCCTGGCACTCAGGCATCCATTGAAGGCACACCCCGGGCTTGACGTGCTCAGGAACCTTCCCCTTTGTTTTAAGTAGATCAGTGAAGGGAAGGCTCACTTGAGCAAAATTTGAGAGGAAAACTCTGTAGAAATTCGTGAATTCTATGGAGGATTGTAACTGCCTCCGGGTTTTGGGGGCCTTCCACCCCAGTACATTGGCTACTTTGCACGGGTCCATCTCTAATCACCTGGGTGAAATACGATAGCCCAGGAACTCTACCTCTGTCTGGTGGAAGTCGCACTTTGACAGCTTAGCAAACAGTTTATTATCATAGAAAGTATGTAGAACTTCCCGCACCAGTTTGACATGTGACTCTATCCTGGGAGTATAAAAGGATATCATCCAGATAAATGAAGGCCCCTTTGAACAGGTGCTTATGCAACACTTCATTGATTAAGTTCATGAAAACCCTGGGCACTCCTGAAGCCTGAAAGGTATCACCAGATATTCAAACTGGCCCAGCAGGGTATTGAATGCAGTCTTGTGCTCATTCCCCTCCTGGACATGCACCCTGAAGTATGCATCTCGAAGATCCAACTTGGTGAAGATTTTCCCTTTTGCTGCCTCCAGAAGGAGATCTTTAATAAGAGGGAGGGGGTAGGCATTGGTGGCAGACACAGCATTCAATCCCCTGTAATCCATGCACAGTCTCAGCCTACCATCTTTTTTTCCCCTGAAGAGGACTGGGGTTGCGAACGGGGAGGAGGCGGGGCAAATAAATCCCCGCGCCAGGTTTTTGTCAATGAACCTCCTCAGCTCCTCTTTCTCGGCAGGGCTCATTGAATAGACTTTACCCTTGGGCAACTTAAAATCTGGTAGAATGTCAATAGTACAGTCAGTGTTTCTATTGGGGGGGGAGCTCGTCTGCTTCCTCCTCCTCGAACACTTTGGCCAAGTCTCTGTATTCCAGCAGGATGGATTCCAGCTCACTTCTGGCCAGGCAAGCTCAAGCCGGTTGCCCCATCAGGACATCCCCCCACTCAGGATTCCACACATGCGTCTCGCACTGTGCAGGCATGAAATGTACCATTCCTTTGGTCCACTGAATATAGAGCTCATGGCCTATATAGGCCAGGGGCTCCCTAACACAATAGCCATGGGATTAATGAAAACACCCATTTTTCCCAATGAGTTTCTGTCCCCATCACTATAGGGATAGTCTATGGTGGAGCCGTCCACCTGGGTGAAAATCAAAGGTTCTGGCAGTCTTTGCACTGGTACCCCCAACCCCGTGACTATGGCCGGGCTTATCGGGTCTCTAGTGCACCCTGAGTCTATGAGGGCTCGCACCTGTACTTGAGTTCCCATCTCGGGGTTAATGACAGACAGTCATGAAAAATAAGGGGGTATTGTTGCTCACCGATTGAGGTGCAGGGGACTCTCGGGCCTTCTGTTTTGCGCCCTTCACAGCAGGTCCCAGCCTTTTCCCACTGGCTGGGGGTTCTCATCTCCGTTGGAGAAGGCACTGTTGAGTGTTGCTCCCAGCTGCAGAGCTTGAGGTTGCTTAGCCCGTGCTCTCCCCCTTTCACCACAGTCTCTGACACTCTCCGCTCCGGCGGCTTGCCCGTGGGGGGTGTCAAGACCTTAGGGTAGAAGGCAGCGTGGTGTCCCAGCTCTCTGCATTGCAGACACAACCCCAACTTCATGCGTTGATCTTGCACTGGCTCCTTCCCCTTGGGTTTGGGTCCCTTGGCTTGAGCTCTTGGGGTCTTTGAGTAAGCTTTAGCAGTCAGGAGCGTTATCATGTACAACCTGTTCTCCGCTTCCCCCGCCTCCTGGATCCAACCCGCCAGGGTTACGGGATTCACACTCTGGAGCATGTTATCGAGGATCGCGGGGCTGAGTCCCACACAGTACTGTTCCACTAACATGGGCTTGGGCCAGCCTTGGACTTTGGCTACGTACATTTTGAACTCATCCGAGTATTCACGCACCGTCCGGCTCCCTTGCTTCAGCACCCGTAGATTTGGGCGTGCCTTCTCCTCCACCATCAGGTCTTCATACTGGCAACACAGGGCCCACATGAAAGCCTGAACATCCCGCCGTTCGGAGCCCCTGAGGTTATGCAGCGCAACATACCAGTCAGCAGCAAGCTCCCTCAACCAGGTATCAATATAGTCCACCCGGTGCTCATCCGAGGGGTAGAGGTGGTCCCAATCTCTGAGAAACTTGCTTGCCTGTAAATACGCGAGGTTTTCTGGATCACTGTCAAACGTTGCATCCAAAAGCTCCTTGGGCCATTCCAACCTCAGCCCGGGGGGGGGGGGGGTTGCCCCAGTGGCCCAGCACCTGTGGTTGCTGAACCTGTACAGGGGCAGCCACCGGCTGCTGCAGGCAGAGTTCATGCTGCACCATTGCGGCTACCAGTCGAGGGATATCCAGCACCATTTCCTGCATCTCTTGCTGGAACTCTTCCCATTGAGCTTGAAGCTGGAGCTCTCCCCCTGCCAGCTGTTCTTCCGCCCGTTCTCCTTGGCCCTTTTCTCCCAGGGCTGGGAAATCAAAACGGCTGGTACCACAGACTTGGGGACTAGTTGTCCACATCTCTCGGGTCTCCGTGGAGAAGTTAGCCCAAGAGTAGGTGTCCCAACGCAGCTTCTCCCAGCCGCACACTCCCGTGGTGTCAGGCACCCCTGTTGAAGTGGGTACCTCTTCAGCTGTAGAAGCTGGGGCTTCCCCATTGCCCGTTTCACTCATGATGAGGTACGGGATCAGGAACGTAAGTAGAGTTCTGACACACTGTCAGAATCTTGGAGCAATCAGGAAACAACAACAGTCCTTCAAAGAAGTGTCAGTTTATTGATCCAGTAAAGCCAAGTCATCTATACACTTACAGTGTCAGAACTGAGAGTCAAAGCGGGAAAGAGCAAATTATATGAGGTTCAAAGCAGGAGCTCCTGAGGGACTGGCCCAATCAGGGGAACAGCCTTAGCGCACCTAAAAGTAATGAATATACCTTCCCAGGGAAAGCAGAACAGCAGACACCAAGGTCAAATAGCAATAAAGCAGTCTCAGAGAACTGAAACCTAAAATACCAAACCTGAGAAGAACTCCAATTCCAATTCCAATAACCTTTATTGGCATAACAATAGCTTTATTGGCATAACAACTCCCCACCACCACCAGCTGCCTTGGCAGCGTAGCTGACATATAGCAGGCATGAAATTCTGAAGACCAGTACCACTTTGAAGTCTAACAATATTTATTCCAGCATGAGCTTTTGTGAGTCACAGGTCACTTCCTGAGATGCATCTCAACTGTAACTGAGGAAGTAAGCTGTGACTCACAGAAGTTTGTGCTGGAATAAATGCTGTCAGTCTTTAAAGTGCCACTGGGCTTCTGTTTTGTTTTGCTACAATGGACTAACATGGCTACCCCTCTGGAACTGTCATGAAATCCTGAGTCTCTCCATCAGCCTCTCCCCCCATCCCCCATTCAGCAGCTCAGTGCTGAATCTGTCACAGACTAGAAATGCTTGGACTCACAGAACATGAACTGGGGTACCACCTTGAAGTTGAAGCTCATAGCTCGGGGGTAAGGCACAACTTTGCATGAATAAGGTCTCAAATTCAATCCCCCAGCAAATTTGCCTCTGATGTTTTCAGGGATGCAAGACTCTTTTGTGGCCAGAAAGATGGAACAAACTACATCCCAAAACCAACCAAACAAGAAAGGCCCATGCAATTGCCTCCAAGTCCCAAATTTTTAAAAATTTTATTTAATCAAAGTTAAAGACACGGATGAACATAAATACAATACAGTTAAAACTTCAGATCATTCTTCATATTGGTATACATAAAGACCCAATAACATAAATCCCAAGGAAACCTGCAGTCAGCAATGAAGTGCAGACAATCTCCCAAACATGCACACGTGCACACACACACGCACACACACACACACACACACAGGAGGGGAAAGACACCCTTACAAGTTATCTCTGAAAAGGAAAGAAACCCCATACAAACTTCAGTGCACACACACTCATTACAAATGATTCATACATAAATAGGTAGTGGGTGCAAACAAGCTACTATGCTAACATATGTATAAACCTTTGTTAATGGGGGGGGGACGACAAAAAAAAGAGCAGCCATGATGATTAAAATACATTCAGTTACTGATCACTAGTTGTGCCGTATGAGGAGTTATCCAAAAAGGGAAATCGTGCTGCAGAGAAGGGGGAAAAAAGCTATATACAAAGGAAGTTAATGGCCAGGTAAACACATGCATGCCGTGTATTGGGGGAACACTGCCGCTTTGCCAGTATAGTTTTGTGTTTGCATTGTAAAAGCCCTGTGCACTAAACTAAAGGAAAAATGGTCTTTAAAAGGATAATACTTTTATAGCAATGGTGTTCATTCAATGGCCCAAAGCAGACACACGCAGTGAACATCTCAGGTGTAACGTCTGCTTAAGTCTTCAGCTATAGGAAAAGAAAATTTCAACAAAATAAGTGTTTGGTTCATGTTCTAAAAAGGAAAAAAAAACCGATCTATGTATTTTGATGACATGCATGATTCAAGATACACGTCCCTAAGTTCCTGATAAACTTTCGAGCAAGGGAAACTTTACCTAAATGTATGCATGCCCTGTACTGGGGAGGGAGGAGGAAACACTGCCGCTTTGCCTGTATATTTCTGTGTCTGCATTGTAAAAGCCCTGTGCACTAAATTAAAGGAAAAAATAGTCTTTAAAAGGATAATATTTGCATAGCAATGGTGTTTGCTCAACAGCCCACAACAGACACACACAGTGAACAGTCCAGGAGTAACGTCTTCTTAAGTCTTCAGTTGTAGGAAAAGAAAACCGTAATAAAATAAGTGTTTGGTTCATGTTCTAAAAAGGAAAAAAAAAAGATCTGTGCATTTTGATGACATGCGTGATTCAAGATACACCTGCCTAAGTTCCTGATAACTAACGGGGAGGGGTGCAAGGAAGGAAGCTCAAATCAATTTCATCTGCGGATGGTCAGAAATTTTAATATTCCGGCCAGGGTAGCAGTTCAAATCTTCTGAATCTTTTCACCGACAACTACAGGATTCTCTTTTCTGATTTTCTCAGCTGCATCAGCTTTGTAATTGTAAGAGCAACTGTGGACATCTGAGTAACGGTGTACACCACAGAATATGTTTCCACACCTGCATTCAAACCCTGTGAAAAGATTGCAGGTATTAAGGATATGCAGTATTAGGCAATACAGGAGAGTTAAAAAGAAGTTATTGTATGTTTCCATCCACACCCTCTCAATGAACACAACCCCCCAATTGGAATGATTCCCCTGTGTACGTTCCTAACAACACATAAATTGGCCTGATAAGTGGGCACCACTTCAACTACTTTGTTGCAAGACCAATCAAAGAAAAAATTCTTCATGCTAGGGTTGTCACCCAGTTAAAGAAATCTTAGCCAGGTAACTCTAGTTTTAGTTGGATTGGTTGTGCTCTCATTGGATTTTTGATAAAAGTTTAAATGTGTTGAAGCAGCTCTCCTAGAAGAGCCATTCCTCCTCCTCCTCAACACCAGGAGGGATTTCTGTTCTAAGAGGGCATTTCCTATCTGCAATATTTGTATATATCTTTACTTACTTTGTATTACTTACTGTGAAATATACCACAAACATAATTTTTGCATTCAGAGCTTTTTCACATCTGGAAGTGTACTTTTTATATCTGATTAAAATGGATTCAAAGGACTTTAAGAAATGAACAATTCCATCAAATGCATTTGACATCTACACTCTGTTCCGAATCTCTATGCTTTGAGTTGTTCAAATCCTTTGATGTAATTATTTTTTTCCTTGATTGGAGAATGATAACAATGTTGGGATCTAATCCTCAGAACAAAGCTTGAGTCCAGTGGCACCTTTAAGACCAACAAAGTTTTATTCAAAGTATACAAAGCCAACCAACAACCAAAAACCAACACATTTATTCAAAGTATTCAAAGTTTATACAAGCACATTTTGTCAGACACACTAATCCTGACACTGTAATCATTCTCCAGTCGAGGAGCGGGTACAGCTTGGTGCATACTGACTATCTCGAGTTTAATCCCTGTCTGCTATCTATGTATATGAAGATAATTAGAGTTTACAGTGGGATGTACACATTCCATAGCTTTATTACAATCTTACAATCTATTCAAATCTTATTTCCATAGTACCAAAATAAGTGTATTTAAGAGAAATCTCAAAATTCATATTGTTCTAGTCCCAGCCATGGCCTTTAATGCTTACCAGATGACTACAATACAATGGAACATAATGGGAAAACATAATATATGGCAGTATTGGAGAGAAACAACCCATCCTCCATTTGCTCAACATTTTAGTAAAGTCTTCATAGATACTGCAGGGGCTTCTTGTTCCAAACAAATTTAGCTATTATTTATTTACCACAGTGATCGAATTTTAGGTGGTATAAGAACTGGCACATTACAAAAGGAAGTGATATAAGCTTGCACACACATTGATCTGCAGAACAGTAAATGGAATAGTTCAAGATGGTTTTTATAAAAGGGAATTAGGATCATAATTAACTTCTGTGAAAAGTTGTTGATTTTCAGTTCTGTAGCATTGTTATATATCCCTTACTGTTTATAGTACGTATTGTGTAGTTTTTAGTGCCGCGTTCTTTATTTTTGTAATGCAGTTCTATTGCTCTGTTAGTTGTATTTTATTCTTCTTATTGCATTGTTTAAATTTGTGTACACTTTGAGTCTCAGTGAGACATATAACTATAGATGAAGTGAAATAAATAAATACACAAAACGTACCCTAGGACTATATTCTTCTTTATGATGGCTGTATTTCCCAGCCAGAAAACATGGCCCCTAGCTGCTGATCTCACAGTCCAAATTCTTCTTGGTAGACAGAGGGGGGAAGAAGAAGCTGCAGGTAGATGTGGGGGCTGGCTGATGCCAACCCCCAAATGCAGCTGTTTCACTGAATTGCAGTCACTGAGAAAACATAATCCACATTCAAGGGTCTTTGCCCTCAGAAGCATGGGGTCAGTGAAATCACACACAGGAACTTAAAAAAACCCAAAATACACCTTTTAGGTTGAAAGAGATTGGTAAGCACCAAGCCTTGCTTTGAATTAGCAGCCATTAACACTTCCTGTTAGATCTGGCCTCACTTTTCTTCATTCCATGACTTAAGTTTTCATTAACTTACCAGTAAGACCAACCTTCTTCCGGCACATGAAGCAGCGAGATTTTTTCTGTTTTGGTTTATCAAGCAACTTGTCTTGTTCTTCAGAGGAAGGCTCTGCACTATCTGATGATGAAGCTGACAGGGTAGGGGGAGAGGAAATCCAAGCAAGTTTTTTAAAAAAACAGGCAGAGACAAATGAAAGCCAAGACAAAGCTGAAGTCCATTTTGCAATTTCAGATCCTGTATGTTTGCAGCCAGATTCTCCTTCAAACTCATGGGCATGGCCCCTGCCTGGAACCTATGTAAGATTTTTTTTTAATCACACAGCAGCATTTTTTCTAGGGAAAAAACATATTCTTTTCATGCCTCCCTTATGACCATGAGATTTTTTTAAAAAGTTGTTGAATTGAGGTCTATTTTTCAGTTAAGAGCCTAGGATCCATACTGGATCCAGCATGACTGCTGGAAAAGCAAGTTAATGCAGATCCAAAAACCCCCCACTTTCTTCTAACTCTGTCTAGCCTAGAAGACTCTGCTGATCTGGCTACCTGGATCCATGCCATGGTAACATCAAGACTAGACTACTGTAATGCACTCTACATAGGTCTCCCCTCAAAGTAAACTCAGAGACTTCAGTTAGTACAGAATGCTGCAGCTTGGTTATACCCAGGAGCTAAGTGGAGCATGTATATTACTCCAATTCTGCAGTCACTCCATTAGCTGTCCATCAGTTACTGGGTTCAATCCAAGGTACTGGCTATCACATACAAAACCCTTTGCGGCCTTGGACCCTCAAATCTGCAAGACTGCCTCTCTCCCTATGCTCCACCACAACAGCTTTGCTCATCTGAGCAGGGCCTTCTGCAGGTGCCAACCTAAAAATGGGCAAGGACAACAACTGCTAATACATGTGTTTTCTCTGGACCTGTTTTCTCTGTTGTGGACCTGGTGAGATCAGGAAGGCCATCACTCTCCTGGCACTCCACTAACTATGCAAACCTGAATTAATTAGGAGGGCTTTGTTAACATGTTTTTTTTTTTTTAAGTGGGGGGAAATTGCACCCAAGATACGTTAAATTGCCCATATGAATAATCTTCTTGGAATGACCACAGTTACTCTACAAAATGCCTGTCTCCCTTCGGGTCACTAAGCCTAACGCAGCCCAATCCTTTATGGGAGCTCAGAAACGATAAAACTTCCCGTTTTGTACTGTTTCCCCAGCACTACTGACAGATCCAGTAAGGCACAGGACTTTGTTTGGCTGGATGATTCAGAAAGACATAAGCAATCCTGCTCAGCTGATTCCAACTGCAACAGCCTAGTTTCTGGCTTCTCATCAGTCATTCTTTAACATCTTTCCTGAGGACCACAGCCAGTTCGGAGAAGGCTGTTCAAAAGCTTCTGAACCAGTGTGCTATCACTGCATTTGTCCCTTGTAGCCCCAATCCAACTATGCTGTGGGTATGTACAAGCGAAGAGGAGGGAGGAAGAACAACCATGCCTCAGAGTCCCTACTTTCTTTCAATGGCTTTATGACAGCTACTTGAAGACATTAATTCTTTTCAATTTAAAGAACAAAAGAAGTAGGCTGTATCTTCAGGATGCCGTAGAAATCTCAAAAGATACCTCAGACTCTTCAGCCTATTCCCTTATTCTAAATTGTGGTTTTGGAGAGCACCAAAAAGTGTAGAGGACATCTATAGGAGATCGACCGACTGCAAGAACTACCATCTTTGTTCTATAAAGATCAGCTGCCAGGACACTGAATGCATGCACCAGGCCATATGTAAAAAGAGAGACTGAACAGAAGGAAGTGACAAAGTTTTTCATATACACCAACACATGACTCTGCCTTTAGCAGTTGCACTACCTCAATTAGGGCCATGTCTACTGTAAACCCCTCCAGTACCTCCCTTGCTGCCCAAGATCCTTTAATTGGAGTTGCAAGGGACTGAAATAGAGATTGTTTGTGTGCTAAAAGCTGGCTTTTTGTCTGATGAAAAAGGGAAGAGGAAGGCTCCTTTGGCTGTCAAAAATGCTATGCCTGCAATAATGAGAACTACATTAACAAAAGCCATGAGGAACAGAGGAGGTAGTGAGGAGCAGGTCTAGGCAAGACTGAGCTGGAGAGCAGGCCCTCAAGTTATTGCCACTCTATGCACACTGCTGGGATTCAAAAGAACTGTGCTGCTCTATGTCCACCTCAAGAAAGCTTTGGATTCATGTTTCTCAAACACCAGTGCCCCTACCACAGAGTAAACCCATCTGGAAATGTGAGGCTACTTCTGAAACAGCTTGCATAGTTCTCTTCTCCTCTGTTTTATCCTCGGGTTAGGCTGAGAACATGTGACTGGCCCAAGATCACCCAGCATACTACCGTGGCATAGTGGGGATTCAGTAGTGAGTCTCCCAGATTCTAGTCCAGGGGTCCCCACCCTGATGCCTGTGGGCACCATGGCACCTGCCTACACCTTTTGTGATGCCTGCCAAGTGTTTTTGAAAGTGGGTGAGGCTTCTGACTGGAGCTTTGATTGTCCGTATGAATTTTTAAAATGTTGCTTTGAGAGCAGCTGCCACCACAGCACAGTCACTGTGTGACTGAAGGTAAGCTGGGGCAACCCCATTTTGTAGTTGGCTCCACCTCCTGCAGCAGCCATTTTATGGCTGTGTCCACCATGCTGTACCAAAATTCCAAAGGTGCCCACAAACTCAAAAAGGTTGGGGCCCCAGTCCTAGTCCAATGCTCTCCCCACCACATCACAGAGACTATCTTCAAAACAGGCGGATAGGGAAGGGTCAAACACACCACTGGGTGAGTGCAAGTCCTTGGATGCTATCTAATGGTAGCTGTTTGAATCCAGCTGCTGAGCTCCATCATAGTTTTCTCTACAGGCTTTGTAAATGGGGCTGAGTTAATGACACAGTTGACATTTAAAACATGGTATTACAGAGGATTTATATAATAAAGTATCTTTGCAACAGTCATAAATATATAAATATAAAGCCAACTGATTTATTTTTTTAAAAAAGCACACTGGATTTGTTGGCACAACTCAGCATGTCTCCCCCTCTTCCCACTTGCCTCTGTGCTTTCCTTGCTAAGGACAATCACTATAGTGGGGTCAAACCTGTTTCAATTTGTCAGGTCAGCTCACCCTATTGATTAGCTGGGGCTTTCTATTTCCCAGATGTCAGGGTACAAAAATTAGAACATCCATGCTACGCAGGTGGAGACACGTTTTTTAGAACCTGGAGATCTTAAAGGAGCAGCAATTACATTCATGTTTTCAAATCTACAGGAAAGAAGCTTCAGCTGAGTAATGCTGGAAAGGCCATATGTAGTCCTATAGGACTGCAACAGCTCATGATCTCATTGCTTAATGGGAAAGGCACAAAGGAACAGAGAAAGGCAAGGAATATGTATGGTTTGAATATATGAAAAAGAATCTGACAAATTAGGCAGGGGTGAAAATAGCAAAATGTTGCATGTAATTTATTCCACCCTTCTACCATTTTTGCATAAATAGATCCTGTATAAATATGACTCTGTATTTTTCTGTCCTACTGAATGACGGCATACAAATGACCTTATTAATAAACCTCTAATGGAAGGATGGGGAGGAGAAGTAACTAATGCCCCAAATGTCCCAGGAGGGAAACATGGTTGTATTAAAAAAAAAAAAAACCCTTAGCAAAATCACATGTAACCATTGGGATTAAAACATGGTGTGTTGTCAGATTCAAAACTGCCCCTGCCTAAAAATAAATGAAACAAAATTGAGAATTCCATAAATTGAACCTTCATATTCTTCCCAGACCTTTACTCTGTTTCCTAACGAAGTCAGTGTGCTGCAGTGACAGTCTAGGAACTGGAAGACTCAAGCTCAAATCCCCAAATTGGTCATGGAAGTTTCCTGAGTGACTATGAGCTGGTCCCACACTCTCAGCCTAATCTACTTCACAGGGTTGTTGTGAGGATAAAATGGAGGAGAAGAGAACAATATCAGCTGCTTTGAGTCACCACTGGGGACAAAGACTGGGTATACATTTACTAAAATTAAAATAAAATAATGGATGCATTAGGAACACATGCCCAAACATTTATCCTTTGTTTCAAAGAAGGGACTTGCACTCTAGGCTTGAATGCAAATTAGATGTTTCTGTAGGGGCAAAGATTGCTGCAGATGGAGTGTGATTTTCTTGCCTCCCTCTCCCATGGCAGCTGAAAATGCCTCCTTAAATCCTGTTCTTGGAAGAGAGGGGAGCCCCAGGAATAAGATTTCAAGTGAAATTTTTCTGCTGATGCAGGAAGAGGGAGGGTGGAAAATCACAGTCCTATGAACATAAACTCTTCCAGCTATGGAAATGTTAGCCTGTATTCACTCCCCTCTTTACGTATTTGGTTGTACTAGAACAAAACCTCCTTTATATTAAATTCACCCTTCAATCAGTTTAGATGTTTGGAGTGAACCAGAGGTTGAAATGCACTAGAGAGTCAATAACCTCTGGCAAGGCCAAGGGCTTGTGATGGTTGCTCTCCCTCTCTCTCTGCACCCAAATACAATACTTTAAATCCAGTGGCAGGATTGGTTCCATGTACAACATATTGATTCCTAATCCATGAGTTGAGACAATCCTTCAAGGGATTGTAGTTGCAGTACTATATAACTGAGCTTTGAAGAGGAGGAAACCTCGTGAAACATATCCTTGAGACAAGGTGTCTGAATTTTGAATTTTGATTGTCCAGTAACCACTGCAACACCCTTCAATAACACCCATATCCTAGTTCTTACTGGGGCGATGGACCCTGTCTCAGCTGTGCAAGTTTAGACTGCAAGTGGTGGCTCACTTTACCAAATCTTCACCTATACAGAATGTAGTTATTTATTTACTTTATTTATATCACACCTTTCTTCCCAATGGCAACACAAAGTGGCTTACATAATTCTTCTTTCCTCCTTTTTTCCCTCACAATAACCCTGTGAGGTAGGATAAGCTGAGAGTGTGTGACTGGGCCAAAGATCACCCAGCAAGCTTCTATGGCAGAGAGGGGATTCAAACCTGGCTTTACCCAGATCCTAGTCTGGCACTTTAACCACTATACCACATTGGCTGTCTATACAAAAACCAAGAA